CTGTATGTTATTCCCTAATTACTTTTAAACTTTAAGGTATGTCTCACTTTCTCCAAGAAGATAAAATATGCAGGGAAGGAAAACACCCAATCGATCAAGCAGGTGAAGAACAAGACATAAACAAGCTGAAGGTTAATGGCAGCAACATAAAATAAGCCAGAGACAAAGTATCTCACAAACCAGAGAAACCTCAGGGGCATGCACAACTGCAGAGAGCAAGCCAGAGGGGTCTCAGCACAGCTTCACCTTCCACTTGTCCAGTGGGAGAGCACTACCCCATTGGAATGGTTAAAGGTGGACACCAGCACCTTCAAGATGTCCTGAATCTACAGGAGGTGAAAAGGTAAAAATAAAGGCAGAGGGAGAAAGATAGAAGTGGCTTAGAGAGAAGCAAGAAAGTCAGGAAAGGAGGAAGATGTGGGTCCAGGGAAATGAAATGTTGAAGAAGAGCAGAGATCAAAACCATGGCCTGTGCCATTCTTCCAAACGGCCAACTACTGCCTTGCGAGGGGCAGGAACAAATAGATGGAAAAGTCTCCTGAGAAATGCAGTCACAGAATGGAGTCACCTGACCAATGCAGCTCTTAACACACTCAGTGGAGCCCTCTCCTCAGGCCCAGGATGTAGGTGATGAATCTAGTAGAGCTCCAGACCTCAACCTCCATTTAAAAAACCAGACTTCTGAGTAAGGGTTAACTTGAACAAAGGGGGCTTCAGCTAAAAAACAAGTTTTAAAGACACTGATCTTATCCAGTATCATCTTACAGAGGAGGAAACTGAGGCCCAGGGGACAAAGTGATTTTTCTGTGGTCACCAAGCAAGCTAGTGGCAAGTTAGATCTTCTCTTAATTCTAGTGCCTGGGGCTCTCCTCACCACACCCTGGGGCCCTTTCAGTGACTTCTAAAGGGACAACCTGATGGCAAGTGGCTGTTCTCATTGGCCTGGCTTCCCCTTGAGACTGGGGATGAGGAAAATCAAACAGCAACGACCTTTTACTGGGTGTTCTGGGTGTTTACAGCAGGCCATGTTCTAGGGATTAACATAAAAACAACAGCAATAACAAATCACATTTAAACTTCACAAATGGAAGTCAAGCAACACCACTTCTATTTTACAGATGTGAAGAGAGAGGCCCAGAAAGCTCAAACGACTTGCCCTAAATCATATCCCTGGCATATGGAGAAGCAGAATTCAAAGCCAGAATTCTTAACCAGTACCTGGCAGTTCTTCCACAATCTTAACAACTACCCTCTACTGCCCCTTGGGCCCCCTGTGCCCAGGATCCTGACCAGCCAAGACTCACATCTCCAGGTGAGTGGAAACCACCAGAAGTGGTTGTCTCAGGGTTAGTGTTGTTTTTTTTCTTTTTTCTCTTCGCTCCTGCTGGAACACCAGGGCTATTCCTCTGCTGATACTCTTAACTGTGGGAAAGAAGAGCAGTAATATGCATGAGAACAAAGCCTTACAGTCATATCCTCCTTTACAGTTTTTACAAAATACTTTTATACACCATCTGATTTAATGCCACCAACAACTGTACCAAGTGTTGTCACAATTGCTTAGTGACTGAGAGGGACTGATATCATGGCTTAAAAAATAAAAGGCAATACTGGACCTTAAACTCAGTCTTCTGACTCCAAGCTCTGGGGTTTTGCCACGAGTCAGCAGCTGCCAGGGATCAAAACCAGAGGCAGAGGTAGAACAGTAAACATTAAGGAGGCAGGAACTGTACACTGTGTGGTTTGGAGTCATACATCCTCACACATCTGTTAGTGTTAAGTGCACCAGTACCTCCCAAACTTTTATATCAATGTGTCCTCATGGCAGAAGGCAGCCTTTCTCTTAAAGCTGGGAATTTATCAGAAAGAGAACAACTTAAGCCTCATTTCAGAGAGGTCTCATTTCAGAGAGGTTCTTAGAAACCTATGTGACTGTCATCCCTAAGTACATTAATGTTTTTTCTCTTTCAAGAGAATCAAGGGAAACTGATGCTTCAGAAAGATGTCTCACATTTATCCTGTGGCACTCAAAGTACCCCAGGTTGAGATGATATGAGGAAGATTCAAGCTGTCAAGTTCAGTTTCTCAAGATCTATTCCACAGAAGATGAGCAGCTCTCACTCCAGAGACCACTGACTGAAGGGCAGTCTGGTCCCAGAACCATGGAGAATTAGAATATGAGGTGAAAAACTCAGAAAAAAATGTTAAAGTATCTCTGGAGAGTAGAAGTCTGGGAGAAAACCAAACCAGACCCATTCTCCCATTGCCACCCAGAGATACTGTTAATGTTTTGAGCTCATGGGGGAAGAGTAGGCTTTTCGCACTGTCAATGTCTCTGTTAAGGGATTAAGGCAGCCTGAAAACTCTCACTCCCATGTCATATAGTCCCCATTCCCCTTGCGGCTGGAAATTTATGCTTCTAGCAGAGGAGCCAGAAATGGGGTGAGAACACTTAGGGGACTAGGTTGTAAGATCAAAGGCCAGTCTTGGAGCAGTAATGACAGTTCCTAGGGGGACTGTGACATCACTACATTCCACTCCTCCTGGGGAGGGGGGAGCCATATCAGCACAATGCCTGAGTCACTGATTCACAGTCGGGGAGGGGGACACAGGGCTAGGAACCAGGTACTTGGAGACACCAGCCCAAAGAGCCCAGGGAGGTCAGGATTGGAGCAGCAGGATGAGAGGCAGAGACTGCAGCAGGGAGCCCCAGATGTCAACAACCCAAAGTTACCCAGGGTGACTGGCGAGGGCAGGGGCTTGGGCTGGGGGACCCAGGTCCTTGGAGACCTGAGCCCAAAGAACCTAGGGAGGATGGGCTTTGGGCAGCGGGAGGTAAGGGCCGAGTATGGACCAGGGGTCCCCAGGAGTCACCCACCCAAAGTCACCCTGTGGTGACTGGTGAGGGCAGGGCTTGGGCTGCTTGCTGAAGGGGCAGGTCTGACTGACAAGACTTTGGTGGGGGGAACCCAGAGGTGCCAGGGTTGGGGGGCCCAGCCTAGTGTGCTTCAGGAGTGGTATGGACTCCGGTAGCGGTCTTGCCATTGGAGGGGATTTGTGGCTGGGTTGGGGGACCACAACCTGGTGTGTCTTACCTTTTTCTTGGCTGCAGCCAATTTGCTCTGTCAAGTTTCTTCAGCCATCATGAGGTGGGAAGGGAGGCAGGGTTGGTGCCACATCAGCAAAATCCCAGCAATGACTGCCAAATGCCTCCAGTCACCTACCAGGGAGCTGTGTGACTGAGCCAGAGGAGGCGTAACCAGGCCCCACTAGAATGCAGAATAGGGGTGTGGCCTTAATGATCCAAGCCCATTGGTCAATGAGAAAGATGAAAGCAAAAGAAGGCGTGGCCAGGCAGCAGCATGTCCAGAGGGACCTGTGGTATCACAAGGAAAGCTGACCATGAAACCACTGTCCCCACCCACTCTGGGAGAGGGCAGGGGCCAGCTTTTGCTTTAAAAGCTTTAAAACTTTAAAAAATATATGTGTGTATGCTTTATATATATGTGTGTCTGTGTGTGTGTATGTGGTCCTCCAGAGCTGTCTTTATTATCCAGCTTCTATGCAAGGTCTATGAGTTTGGCCTATATTTTTCACCTTCAAACAGAGTACAAGAATTACCAGTATTAGCTCAATTGAGATACAAATCCTATAAAAATGAAAAATCCATAGCATGCTTGATGATTAATGAAGCAGACTATATTATTCAATATTCCAATAAGATAAAATAATCACAATGATTTCCCTTTTTTGGAAAAATGTTTCTCTTATTTTCCTACATTATTGTTAAGATTTTTTTTTTTTTTTTTAAACAAGAAACATATCTAATATCTTTAAAAACACAAAGCTTTTGGGTCTGGTGCAGTGGCTCACACCTGTAATCCCAGCACTTTGGGAGGCCAAGGTGGGTGGATCACCTGAGGTCAGGAGTTCAGGACCAGCCTGGTCAACATGGTGAAACCCTGTCTCTACTAAAAATACAAAAACTAGCCAGGCGTGGTGGTGGGTGCCTGTAATCCCAGTCACTCAGCAGGCTGAGGCAGGAGAATTACTTGAACCTGGGAGGCGGAGGTTGCAGTGAGCCAAGATCATGCCGCTGAACTCCAGTATGGGTGACAGAGCAAGCCTCCATCTCAAAAAATAAAATAAAATAAAATAAAATAAAATAAAATAAAAACACAAAGGTTTCAATTTAATAAGCACTCAAAGTTCTTTACCAGTTTAAAACAAATGCAAGGCCCATTTTTCGAGAATCACCTGGCCTCTCTAAGCCTTGCAAATGATACTGAATTTCTCACTTGATACTTGGCTATTATTTGGAATCATGAAAACCAAGAATTGTGTTATGTCACAGTGTATTGCTTGTTACCTGAATTCCAGAGTAGGCTGGGATCAAGGGTTGAATCTTTCATCATTTGCTCCATAACGTGTGTGCTTCTTATCCCAGACCAAACTAAGCTTTTTTCTGGAGTTCTACAATTTACAGTTAGTAGACAAGAGTGGCACTCAAAGGTGTAGTCTCTGGATTAGCAGCACCAGCAGCACCTGAGAACTTTTCATAAGTGCAAATTCTCAGGCCCCACCCTGGACCTGATGAATCAGAAACTCCGGAGTAGTGCTCAGCAATCTGTGCTGCAGTAATCCCTCCAGGTGTTTAGGACCTCTGGCATACAGCAGATAGCAAAATGTGTTTCCTTCTGTAGGTCCAAAGCCAGGGATACTATATGATCTGTCTTGATATGAAACAATGACATGCAATTAGAAGACATAAATCTCCTTCCTACTCCCACCCTCCACCCAATGTGTTTTATTTTTATGAGTTAAATAAGAAAACAAGTGACAATCAGAGATTTAGTCTAAAAAGTATATTTACAAGTATCAGTTCTCATCCAGCCTCATCTCATACTGTAGCAGAACGAGCTGCAGACAAAACTCCTCAGACACTGAGGTAAAGAAGGAAGGGGTTTATTTGGCCGGGGGCATCAGCAAGACTCCTGTCTCAAGAGCCAAGTCCCCGAGTGAGCAATTCCTGTCCCTTTTAAGGGCTCACAAGTCTAAGGGGGTGCATGTGAGATGGTCGTGACTGACTGAGCAAGCAGGGGGTACGTGTCTGGGGGCTGCATGCACCGGTAATTAGATCAGAACAAAACAAGATAGGGATTTTCACAGTGCATTTCTATACAATGTCTGTAATCTACAGATAACAGAACCAATTAGGTCAAGGGTCCATCTTAAACTACCAGGCCCAGGGAGCAGCGCCAGGATGTCTGCCTGTGGATTTCATTTCTGCCTTTTAGTTTTTACTTCTTTCTTTGGAGGCAGAAATTGGGCATAAGACGATATGAGGGGTGGTCTCCTCCCTTAATACAATACCATTTACATTCTCTTACATCTAAAGTTTTAGAAAAGGATCTTCAGGCACGCTCGGAATTCTATAGTAAAACACCAAGTAGATCAGAATGTCCAAACTTACCAGAGAAGAAAAGTGAAATCATTGGCTATATTTTCAAATTGCATTCAACAGGAAATTTAAGTTTTGAATTTTTTTCACCTTCATACTTCCAAGTTAACAGAATTAAACCAGAATAGTCCATTCTTTCAAAGCCTCTAGCCAGGCAAACTTTTACTATATTACTTCTTGCTTTCAATGGATATAAAGCAGAGTCCTGGCAGGCACATTTTGTATACCTGCAAAGACACAGAACTAAACAGTTCCATCAGTTCCATATTAAAACAGAAGTCCTGTAAACCTTGGATGGTGAGTGTAATACTTCAGCACTAGCACCAAAGCCTCAAATATGAAAAGATACTAAGAACACCGCTAGCAAATAAAAGTGAGCTCTCGGCTGGGAGCAGTAGTTCATGCCTGTAATCCCAGTACTTTGGCAAGCGAAGGTGGGAGGGTTACTTAAAGTCAGCAGTTCAAGACCAGCTTGGGCAGCATAGCGAATTCACATCTCTACAAAAAAATTTAAAAATTAGCTGGGCATGGTGGCACACACTGTAGTCCTAGCTACTTGGAAGGCTGAGGTAGGAAAATCACTTGAGCTCAGGAGTTCCAGACTGCGGTAGCTATGATCATGCACTCCAGCCTGGGTGACAGAGCAAGACCTAGATGATTACAGTCTGTCCTGCTCCAGTTTACATTAAAATCGCTAAGTTAAAATATTTTCAATCAACAGGATAAAAATTGAGTGAAATGTGACTTGAGAGCTTGGTCAGAAAATAGGCAATAGAGAAACAGGTGCTTCCCACAACAATAAAAATGGCCAATAAACATATTAAAAAGGTTCAAAAGCACTGGAAACCAAAGAAATGTAATAAAAACAATGAGATTTTCTGATTAAAGACCAGCAAGGAGGACAAATGGAAGGGAGAAATGGAGCTCTGTCCCTGTTGGTGGGAGTAGAAACTGAACCAATTTTCCTGCAGGATAATTTGAAAATTTCTATTAAAAACCCTAAAATTGTTTTATGTTATTTTCCTCCAGAAATTCTACTTCTATAAATTCAGTCCAGAAATGCTTGCTTGAGTCAATTAAAATGTACATATAAGAAAATTTACCTCTGGGGAGGCAATGATTAACTTAATATACATCCAACTATTATAATGATGATGCCAAGGATATATTTACTGCCATAGAAATATGACCAAAACATAGTGACAAAAGACTATATATTATGATTCTACTTTTTAAAATGTTTATATGCATAAAAAGTATAAAAAGCAACAAACCAGAATGTTTTGAGTGTCAAAATTAAAGATTTTTCTTTATATTTTGTCTTCCAAATTATTACAAAAAGAATGTGATTTTCTTTATAATCCAGGAGAAGTATTATTTTCATTTATGTTTTGATTTCTTTTCTTTTCCTTATTTTTTCTCATGTATGTATCACATGTAGTCTAGAGAGCTTGAATCCCTGCCTTTTGAGGCAAATCAGCCCATTTCTGTCTCTATAAATTTACCTCTCGTGGACATTTCAAATCAATGGAATTAAACAATATGCAGTCTCGTGTCCAGCTTTTCTACTTAGCTAATGTTTTTGAGGTTGGTCCATGACATATGAAATGTTTTGGTAGTTTGTTGCTTTCATTACTGAGTAGAAGCCCATTGATGGATATACCACATTTTGCCAGCAGAGAGCCTTTTAAATCTGGATTCCAGCTTCCTGTGGTCTAAATGAAACCCTTTGAACACAGGACTTACACGGGAAGCTGCTGTGCTTGTCACAATAACTGCTTATCAGAACCAGCTTTGTCATCACGAGCCTGAACTGCTGCAGACATTTTTATCATTTTGCAGCTTCTTTTTTACAAGCAAGTTTTGTACTACTACAGGTATGGACTTTTGAAGCATCTGATACATCCATTTAATAAGTGTTAGCATGTGTCTGAGTGGACAAGAAAGTGAACCCACTCACACTACATTGTATATTTTTTCCTTCCCCAGGCTGGCCCTGCCTCTCAACTTTCTAGAGTATCCTGTCTCCATGGACAAAGCCGAACAGTATTAAAGATTCCGCTGCCTTTGTTAGGCAGATTTGGAGGGGAGGCCCAACAGCAAGGGTAGAGGGGCAAAAGAGAGTGGAGCTTGTGGAACAGGAAGCCTCCCGGGTGGGCGCATGGCTCCCAGCTGTTGAGGAAGTTGTGGGTGGTGAAGTGCTGATGGTGTCCCCAGGCAGCCTAGCACCTCCATTGATCACAGAACGTCCTGACTTTGGACCCTTACCCTTGTTTCACACGTGTTTAAAAGCTGTTTTTGCTTTTGTTATTTTCCTAAATAATCATTACCTGGTAGTTTGTAATGAATCTTTCTTTGGGAGAGGACAGGGCTTTAAAACTGAAGAACATCATTTTCATTAAAATATCGAAAATGGAAAAAAGTTACTTTGTAAACAATTTGCTATACAAACCAAATGGCAGCAGTTGAGAATCTCAATAAAATGTTAAATAAATTTGCTGCTTTTAGAGAAATAAAGGAAAAAAAATTAGAAGAAATAAAGACAAAAATGCATTTGCTGGCAGTGGTACCCTTTTGCCTAAGGTTGGGTCACTGTGTCATCAGACTGTGGTGGGTATGTGTGGTGTATATGTGTGAAACTTTTCATCTCAGGATGGATCATAATCTTAGTTGCAGTTTTCCTTCCCAATAGGGTTACAATGTAGTAAAACATGGGCTTGGAAGTAACAGACCTGAGTGACTCAGCACAGCTTCAAAGAAATCCAATAAAACTAACTTTTAATAATCCTGAGGTTGGTTTTTGAAACAATAGATACAATTACTTACTCTGAGCATCTGGTTACCATTTTGAATCAGTAATACATACTGTCTCCACTCTTTTTTTTTTTTTAATGGAAACAAAGTTTTCATTCAGAAAACCCCAAAACAGTGACTTTTTTCTGGTTTTTGTTTTTTTAAGACAGGGTCTCACTCTGTCGCCTAGGCTGAGAGGAGTGGTGGATCTCAGCTCACTGCAGCCTTGACCTCCCACCTCAGCCTCCTGAGTAGCTGGGACCACAGGTGCCATTGTGCCTGGCTAATTTATTGTATTTTTTTTGTACAAATGGGGTTTTGCCATGTTGCCCAGACTGGTCTCAAACTTCTAGGCTCAAGCGGTTCATGCATTTTGGCCTCCCAAAGTGCTGGGACTACTGTGCCCAGCCTGCAGTGACTTTAAAACACAAGTTCAGGCCGGGTGCAGTGGCTCACGCCTGTAATCCCAGCACTTTAGGAGGTCTAGGCGGACGAATCATGTTAGGAGATGGAGACCATCCTGACTAACACACGTTGAAACCCTGTCTCTACTGAAAATACAGAATAATTAGCTAGGTGCGGTGGCGGGTGCCTGTAGTCCCAGCTACTTGGGAGGCTGAGGCAGGAGAATGGCCTGAACCCAGGAGGCAGAGCTTGCAGTGAGCTGAGATTGTGCCACTGCACTCCAGCCTGGGCTACAGAGCGAGATTCTGTCTCAAAAAAAAAAAAAGAAGGAAAGATTACTCGGGAAGAAATAACTTAAAAAGAATTGATTATGATTTTCCTTCTTTGATTTTACAGAAAACGGAAAGTACTTCAAAATCAAATTATTGGACATCTACAAAAGGCTAGGTTTTACATAAGAAGAAGAAAAAGGTTTTAGGCACTCCTGACACTCCTGGGAAGACTGTGGATACCCAGGGCCCCACGCCGGTTTGTACATCAACATTTTTGGGGAGATGAAAATCTAAAGTGGCTGAAATGAATGATGATAATGAAGAAAATAAAATACTTTTCAAACAGCCCATATCCTGTGTAAAAGAAGAAATACAAAGGACTCAAACACTTAAACATTCACAGAAAAAAGACAAAGGAAAAGCAATCAGTGGTTTTCAATATATTATATGTAAGATTTCTTCTGAAAAATACAACAGTTTGGTAAGAAACAATACAAAAAATTAGCTGGGCATGGTGGCTCATGCCTGGAGTCCCAGCTACTCGGGAGGCTGAAGTGGGAGGATCACCTGAGCCCAGGAAGTTAAGGAAGCAGTGAACTGTGATCGCGCCACGGCACTCCAGCCAAGTCAAGTCATTACATTTATCTTAACCTATTCTAGGCTGGCTTAAGAGGGATTTGTATTAAGAATACAATAGACAATCTCACAGACATCTAAGTACAGAACTCAAAATATGACCACAGCATGGAAGGACTGGGCTGGGAGGTTATTTTTCTCTCCTGCGTCCCTTCACTCTGGATTTCTGCTCCATGCTTGTGCCTTGCTCTGCAGATGGTCCAGGCTTCTCCAGCCTCTGAGGCTTTGACTTGCCCTGGCAGTACCCCTGGTCCCAGTGTTACTGGATCTTTCCATACAGATGCTCCTCTGCAAAAAATCTATCAAACACCATCTGTGTCGTTTCCGATGAGCAGGATAGAGAATCTGATCTGCCTAGCAGTGGGGGTGGGAGTTCCCTAGTTGTCCCTGGATTTGCAGTGCTGCCCTTTCCAAAGACTTGAGGAGGGGCCAG